TCCGCTGTTTCAGATTTTGTTTTATAATACATGTAGGTTATTTATTTCTTGAGGTAACGCTAAAAGATGATGAGTGTAATGATAAAATGATTGTAAATACAGGGTGTTTAAAAAATGGCGCGCTCACTCTATGACACTTGCTCAGGACCATTTATGGAGCAGAGAAAAAATAATTTAAAAAATACTTTTGTCCAAGTGTAGAATATGTAGCCCTTCAAATTTTTTTTTTTTTTTCAAAATTTCACCATATTTTAAATTCACTACTTTATGCTGGGTACCTGAAATAGATTGTACTTTCGTTATTCAAAATAATTTTGGCAGCATCGTCTTTATCCATAGATTTCTTCATTTTATAACATAAAAAAAACTTAAAAATTGTTTGCGATGAATCTGACGACAGTAACTAAATTTTCACATTTTTTTATCTATGTAAATCTATATTTTGTTTTTGTAAGTGAACGTCAAATTGACGTAAAGAATTTTTTAATGATTTTTCTCGAACTTAGACTTGTGAATTTAATCATGTATCGTTGGGTCTGTGCGCCATTTTTTGATCTCCCTCTATACACAGAGTATGTGTTTATCAATTTTTCTTCAAAAACTGAAAAGTACTTGGCACTATCTGTAGGATGCTAAATAATAATAGACGTTTCTTATTCTGCCATTATTAAACATTTTTATAGACGTCTATAAAAAATTTTAATAATGGCAGAATAATAACAAACTATTCATTTTAATCTTGATATTTTTCTCGGTAAGTTGTTATGTTCTTTGACTGTGGCAGTATATAAATTTAACCTCACTTTTCCGTTCCTGATGAAGAGAAAATAAAGCAGATTTTCGAAAGTTTAAACTGAAAAAAAGAGTCTCTCTTTTCACCACGACTACTTTCCCAAGTAACCAAATTTTACTATTTATATACAGGTAGTCCCTATTAAAACTCAGTGGTCTTATACATTTCTTGAGAACGGACAGAAATATTGAAATCCTATAAACCCCATTGTTTTTAGCCCGAAGCAAGACGCTTAATTTAAATAAGCAAAGCACATATGGCGTCGGCGTTGCGACCCATATCTATAGTTTCCTAAATTGCAAAGTAGGTATATTTTTATTAACGAATTTTGAGAGATCGTTAAGTTGCGGTTATAGTGATACACGACACTTCAATGGCGAGTGTTTAATTGAAAAAGTCATCGAGTTGAGAGAAAAGAAGAAAACAGCGAAAAACGAAAAAAGTTTATAAATACGTACATACTGTTTTACTTTTGCGTATAATTGATATTTCCGCGTTATCATACATCACAATAATTACAAAAAAGCAGCACCAATTTGATGACTTTTAAACTGGACATATTTTATTAATAAAAAAAAAAAAAATAAAAAGCCCTTTTTTGTTTGAAAAATGTTTTATCTATATCATTAAAATCCACGAAGTTTTTCATAACAGTTTTTCAATAGGTACTTAACTTTGCTAAAGCTGTGAGTGTTTCTTGTCCTGTAGTATACCGTAAATGTCTTTATTCTCTTCAAAATTGAAAAACACCGTTCGCTTTCCGTATCCGTAGTTGTCCCAGGTAATGTACACTAAATAAGTATTTAATTGTCTAACACAAGAAAGTTTCTGATAAGTTATTAAGTATTTAGAAAGAACTGTAAAAATAATCACCATTCAATCATCCGAAAAAAGGAAGCAGACAAAATAAAAATCGCATGTTTCTCACTACACCTACATATCCAATGACCTAATTTATAAATACATGGATTCCTTTCGGTAAAGGCCGACCACTGTTGTTATATTCTAATCAGTTTAACTTATTTTTAGCTTTGGGACGTACTATTTCTTGATTATCGATAATATTTGGAGTTCGTAAGTGAAGAAATTTATGAAAATGAACTGAAATGTGCAGCATGGGACTTCGAACTCCGTCGTCCGTCGTAAAAATTGTAGAATATATTGCACCTGCAACCCTGCACAGCTCCACATGTAGAGTAGTTGTGCTAGCGAACGCAATCTTTGGTGAAAAAGGGTCATTGACCTCATTGCTTCTTATCGGGCTATATTGGACTCTACTAAGCGAAGTTTGCTCTAATACTCCGCGTGAGGTCAATATTTATAATTGACCCAACCGCGAATGAGAACGATTATTTTATTGTTGAGTTTTTGTCTATGTCACGGTACAATATATACGAATACACAACTGACACATCTAATTTCGACAAAAAAAAATAAAGAAAATAATTCAGTTTTTATTTATTTATTTTTTTTTTGGGAGGGAGAGGGGTCATTCATCAATTGATCCCACGGTCGAGGCGCCACTGGTATTTATTCAACAAAATTTTGTGATAAAGTCATCAAGTTTTTGGAGGTTGGGATAAACAGATAAAACTTAACTTACAATATTCTGTTTTGCAGTTGTCAAGTGAAATTGTAAAATGTTATACAATTTTGATTGAAATTAAGTATGTATAAACAATTTTAAAAAATATGAATGCATTGATAGATAGCACACTCGTAATATTTTGCATATTTGACAGGATTTATTCATCAAAATTTGGAGATGAAGTCATCAGGTTCTCTTTTAAGGGAGGGGGGGGGGGGTAGACAGATAGATAAGTTTTGAGTAACGATTTACACGCGTGCGATAACCATAAGCTTATAATTATTATACAGTTTTTTTTTTACAAATCTGGATGTCTACGGTAAAGTTGATTTTTTTTATCCTTTCCACCACGTGACTATTTTATTTGCAAGCAGCAACAAAATTCACCATCTCTATCCTTGTTGAAAACATATTGTAGTAATTAAAAAAGTTTGTGTGTCCGAGCAAGTAAAACATGTACGTTTCTCTATTATTTCTGATCAATGTATTGAATTAAAAAGAGATATCACAACAACACTGGCGCGACACTTGACCCATATTACTATTCGTTTAATCAGCTGAGGATTGAAAAAAGGGCATTTGTCAACGTCAGGTATCAATTGGTTTACGCCTTGTGTTCGCCGTGTCTGCCGTTTAGCTGTGGATTGTCGCCTTCGGGACAGGGTAACCAGAACTGGTGAGTGTTACCTCTGTATGAGGGACGTTATGCAGTATGAATCTGACTGGTACAACTATCGGCATGACATAACTCTATTGACAATGATGCGAAAACGTAGCTTCTTCAATCCTCAACTTCTAGTTAATGCAGACTTTCAATTCCTTTGACGATTTAGGGAAAACGAAAAGTTGGTTACTACCACTTTTCGTCGGTATTGAGGCCCCTGAGGCTCATTTTACGGGCCCGAAGCCTGCATGGTATGGAGGGGCACAGACTACCACTACTGGTCGTCGGGCCGACGGTGTCCTTAAGGTCTGATCCTTCGAACTTGACGAACTTGCTTAGATGATGGTTTTCAGTTAACCTTACTTCAATGGATAAGTTTGCTTTTTTCAAGCGTAGCTTTATTGTTGATGGGAATGTATAACCTCTCACGGTTTAGAGGCCAACTAATCCGCCTGCTTGCAGGGCATGGCTATCTCCTTCATTATAGACAGGAGTTGTGCAAGACACATGTGGATGAAATCTAATAAAATTCTAAGTTTTAACACCAACATCCTGATATTAGTATGAACACGGACACTCCTCTGACTGACGAAAATTGTAGTAAAATATTTGTTGGATTCATACGACGCTCTATAATCACGTGATGGAAATGATCAATTAACACAATTGTAAATAATAAAGTCGGATTCATAAAATACAGAAATATGTTATTTATCAGAATAATATAAAATTTGCGAAATCAAATTTGGTTGATTGTACTTCAGAGGCGAGGGCAGTCCTGTCTAAATAAACTTAGACCATTTTTTAGCGACAACATTAACATTGCCACACAATTATTCAGTTTTGATGTCAGTGTAATAAAGTATTTGTTTCGAAAAATTGGTGACTTTTTATTTTTAATTACTGGGAATTAAAAATGTTGCCATTGTCATGAAATTCGATTCATTATCAACAGTACTAACATTCACTTACTGTATCTTCTTAACTACATATGAAGACAACAAGTGATGAATGCGCCAGTATTTCCATAGTATTTTGTACTATCTAAATATAAATTTTTAATCATCGAGAATGGACACAAACCAAAAATGTGTCTACTGTTTTGGTAAATTATTTTTATACAAAAACTATCTGCTCTCAAATATGTACCTTTATACCGAGAAAGCAGCAAGAAACACGACCAAAGACAGCCAGAGATTATTAAAGATTTGTCTTTGATAGAAGTTTCGTCTTGTTCGATTACCGTCAATTTGAAAGTTTGAGTAAAGAATGCAACGATCAACGACAAACTCGACTTTAGGCTCTCCTGGTATAGTTTCGCATATAACATTATCATTAACACCTATGATTAATGTAGTGTAAATCGTAGAGGTTATTCTAACAAGTCTTTTAAAAACAAAGATTCATGAAAATATTGAAGCTTTGTATTGGTAAATGCCGATTTTAAAGTGTTAGGGATGATAACAAAATTGGTGTTAATGTCAACCCACAGTAGTTTTTGATAAATACTGCTTGTAGATTATCGTGTATTCCTCTTAACTGAGAAATATCGATTCACTCATAAATTATGCAAAGTTTGAGTAAATACTACTTACAAGCACTAAGGCGTTTGAAAAACCAAACTTCCAGCAGATACTCAATAACATATTAGTAAATAACAAAATAGGTTACCTTATGTGTAAACAATTAGTTGTGGTAGTTACATGAGACATTGAGCTTTCAATCAATTCCACAGCAGTCAAGGTAAAACCAATCACGGATGACTTTGGGATTTTCCACACACTTATTCTGTGTCCAGGGATTAATTATTTATACGATATTAATATTAATAAGTATTACATTTTCAAACGCGAAATGATTTCACTCGAAATGTCACAGTTGACAGCTGTTCATTACATTTCTGACTTTTTGGTGTATACATCATCGTAACTAGATTCAATTGAAAAAAAAATTACCTTAAATCGCCTGTTGAAGTCGCCTTTTTCGAACCATTGTGGTTTCCAGGTGCTTCACAAAGAGACAGCACCTACCACTCACAACTATCAGCTGACAACGTTCGAGAGGGTGCCAGGATCGTTCGGAACACGGAAAGATTGTACTTTCGACTTTTAACCCTCATCCATTTTTCCTGCCGCAATTGACGGATATTTTCTGCTATTCGTGCACTGTTGCTATTGATTTTAGAAATGCTTTCAGGAATGCGGTTCACTGTTGTCAAGAATAAATTTCATAATTCAGGGTTTGATGAAGAGGGTGACGAAAATATACGACGCTTTAAAGTTATCCTTCTGAAGCGCATGCGTTTCATTTCGCATTCATACCTATGAGCAAGGACCGTCAATCGATGGGATTGCATAAAATTGTGGACTCAGACTGGAATTGGGGTTGCAGGAAATTTCGTTTTGCATCACAGTCTAAGGGATAGTTATTATCAAAACAAACAATGGATTGCATAGTTGCTGTTGCTGCTTCAGTGAATGTATCTATATTTTTCACTTTTGGCAAGGACTGAGCACAGGACGAATAAATTCTTTGACAGATATTGCAATGAGTGGTGTGCAAAATTCGAATTGTTTAACGGAACAAAAAGTATTGTGGGTGCATTAACGATTCCATTGTAGGATATTACTGTTTTGTGCGTACCCCAGACTTTCTTTATATTTAGTGAAAAGGTTAGGAACATAGTAATTTATAACACAGATTTATTATTTATGACAAATAAATAGCTATTTGTGGGCATTATGAACCTCTATGTTAATTGTACTATAGTGCTAAATACTATTTGGTAATTCCATGGCAATGTGAACAAAAGTATGCAAACCAAAATGTGCGTGAAAATTAGTTTGAATTTGTTTTTTACATTTGAAAAACAGCTTGATTTTATCAACTACAAGAAAATGTTCTTATCTAAGTTTGTATTTATGCTTTCTGGTCATCAAAGGAGATAAGCATCAAACGTTCGTTTAGTTCGTAAATTTTTCTAACCTACACCTAAATTCATTTGATTAAATATCCAAAAATTTTCTTAAGCTTAAAAGTTCACAATAAATGAAATAGTTTCTCTAAATAACTTTACAAATGTTGTTTCACATATTGGGTAAATTATTTATTTCTATCTATGTAAAACGAAGTCCTCTACAGAATGTTGCGTCCGTCTCCATAAATTGAGTTTTTCTATTGTAACACAAGTAAACTTTGCACAGGGCTTTCATAAATGTTGCCTACATCTAGTAACCTGGCCAATTTAAAAATATTACAGATTTACCATTCTTCGTAATGCATTTTAAAGTTTTAAATACTTAATATGGTTAATATGTCACCTGTCAAAATAACTATAATATTTGAACTCGTACTGTTAAAGAGGCGGAACAAATCGTCTCGATTAGAAGTTAGAACCATTTATCAAAACCCTGTATAATAGATAATTAGACTACCATGGTAATGCAAAATACTCCAATTCGTACGTATCGCTCTTGGCTGTTCTCGTGACTTAATAAATATTTTAACAATATAAGTTGCAAACTGACAGGCAAGACACGGTCACAAACAACACACAGTCATAGTGTAATATTGTCTGTACATGAATTAGAAGAATTAGTGGTAAAAGTTACATCAGAAGCTACACCAAAAATTAATAGCCAAAAACGATGAGATGGAGGCCAAGATAAGCCATGTTATTCAGGAAAATCAACATCGAAATTTGAAGTATTCATGTCAAAACAAGAAGTTCTAAAAACTTTCTATGAAACCACCGTCGGCATGACTGTAAAAACAAATGATAGCGAAAATGAAAATCATCAGCGTACGAATTGAAAGAAACGTAAATACAAATCCAAATCGAACGAGTTAATTGATACGAATAACAGTAAGACAGATGGTAAAAAAATAAATTCATTGTGAAGTGAAGAAAATCCAGTGAACTTCAGTGCAGCTTTATAATGTGCCTGGATACATGTAGGAAAGGTAAAAACTGGGACAACCATTGAGGATATTGGAGTTTCCTGCAAATGAAATACCCGGGCAATGTCTTTGACATAGAAGCTATGCCACAAAGACCACACACTCATGTCCTATGTATTTTAATGTAGGAGCTGAGGAGTGAATTCTATAAACGGAAAAATTGGCCGGTTGCTTAATTGTGAAGAAATTTCAATTCACATTTTTTCGAAAAGACGCAACAGGAGTCTTTAAATAGCTTTGCAGAAACTCTACAGACTAATAATAAGATCGACGTACGAAAAATGCGGAAAAAGCGATTGATCTTAAATAATAACCACAGTATCAATAAAATGCTACCTAATAAATGTAATGTTGTATCAAACTTTTTACTGTTACCTACTTCTTGATACCTTATTCAATCTTTACAACAAATAATTAATGAACTTGATGGATTTTTAATATACTTACTTATGTATTGTCACAGTTAGCAACAAGTTGCAAAACCGATTTGCCCTCAAAAAGTAAGTTTGGCTGATGCTAGGTATTTCGCAAAGAGCAGCAAAGGGGACTTGGAGAGTGGCAAATCGAGGACAAGGAATTAGACAATTGAGTGTGGAGCGGGCTTTACGAAAGGTCGAGACTGTGATAGTGTGTGTCCCTTACTACGACACGTGGCAGCAAAATGTCCGGGATTCCCCCAGTTAACACATTTAGGGCGGCCGTCTCTAGTTCTGGGCAGTCCACTGCGTGTTTGGTTTTTCGTTGCCTCTCTTTTCGCTTCTCCATGGTTGGCGTCTTTTTGGCACGGATACTTTTGAGTCGTTAAAAATGCACTGTCTGTAGAAATGTTATTAATTAGTGTGAGTTTCTTCACTTCGCTAATTTTTAAAGCTAAGCTCTTGATTTCTTTCTTACTCATACAAGGTGTTGCAAACATATAAGATGTTTCGGCTAACGAAGGTAGAAGACCTTTTTTAAAATGTGACCTAAAGGACGCATCCGACATTTTCGGATCCAACTCCTGTTGTAGCGCCAGAAGTTCGAAAAAATAGGACTTGATATCCTCGTTCACTTCCTGCTTCCTGTTTTCGAATTTTGCCCCAACTCCCCTCTAGACTTACCGCTGCCGAATTCCGTCAAAAAATCGTTGGTGAGCGCTCTCCATGTCTTATCTGCGTTAGACTGCGCAACCACGCCAATGCTGCTTTTTCCAAAAAAAATGGCAAGTATGAAATTTTTAACACGTCATCCCACGAGTTAGTTAAAACTACTCTTTCGTAGGTATCGATGAAGCTGTTTGGGTATGACGTAGCTGGATTGAAGACAGGCGGGACTAAAAATTTTATCAAGGCTGGAATTTTTGCTTTTCCGAAATCTTCTGAAGAGTTATGTTTGACATTCAGGCTTCTCCGGTCTCTGTGTCGCTTTCTTCCTTGTCCTCCTTGCTCTTTGCCCTACTTTCTCCCTTGTTCTTTTCGCTCTCTGCACCACTTCCCTCCTTGTCTTCTTCTTCCTTCGTGGATTTTTTTTCTCGCTTTCTCATGTCCAAAATTTCTGATTTCTTGTAATGTTGAATCTGACACAGACTTTGGGTTAACTATGTTTACTTGCACCGGATTTTCTTCAACTGTCTCAAACGCTTCATTGCTTCGGCACTTAGGAATAAAATTCCGGTGCTGCGCTTCTTCTACCTTACGTCTTTGACTACGTGTCTTTATAACAATGGTTTCGTTCCCGACATGAAAACAAATTTTTTCGTCTGCCTGCCCTTGCCCTAGATTGTCTACTGTGCTGTAAGTTCCGACTGAGCATAATACGTCATTACCTACTTAATAGCAGCAAGGTAACTCCCAACACACCCGTCAGCAAAATACATTACACAATTTGTAAAACTAATCTATTAATATCGCTTAATTTACATCAAGATAAATATGGTGATTTATTCTTCAAAATTTCCCCATGGCGCCTCCACCATATATGTCACGTCCTGTGACCATAAAGGGTGTTATAATTAAAACATTTGTTTCCTATTCTAATTAGATTTATTTTATCTAACCTTCACTACAAAATTAATATATTGGCTTGATACTTACGTACTCATATCGTTTTCCAACACAACTGATTAAAATTACGAGCCCTAACAACTAAATATTGGGACACCAAAAAATTTTTATAAAAAAATCACCAAACTTTTTAACAAAGATGTAATTTATTTTAGATAATTAAAATTTTAAAATTAATTCGTTTTGCAAAACTGTTAATGTTTACAGCACAACAAAAACTGATTTCTAACTCAAACAGTGACATAAAACTCTAAAACAACGTAATATTTTGTGACACATAAATATTGGGACACAGCAAATTCAGTAACTGGTCATATCTCCTTTTGCCTTAATAACTGCAGGAATTCTTGCCATCACACTTTCAACTAATTTTCTACAATACACAGGAGTTGTTACCGTATCCTACACTCGCTAAATTTCCTGTTGAAGATTGACAATCGCTTGTCACGGATGATTTCCTAAATATTTTTTTATTTCACGCCATACCGTCTCAATTAGATTAGGATCTGGGCTATTCGATAATCAGGGCAAACATTTATATTATTATTCTTTGTAATAAGTGTTCTAGGTGTGTAACTTGAAGCATCATCCTGTTGAAAAATATAAATATCAACAGAATAGACTGCTTCAGTAGTTGTTAATATTTTTTTACAAAGTGTCTTGATATTTGTTTGAATTTGTAATTTCCCTTCCATGAACGTTGTTAACTGGTCTTTAAATTCCGTTAATAGACATGCACCCCCAAACCATTTTTCCGCTTGCAAACTTGACTCTTTGTTTGAGATAATCCATATTAAAATTCCTTTTTTATTTCAATAACTCTTTTTCGATTATTATCTCACCCAGACATCAAATTTGGACTCAGCGTTATATATCACTTTTCTCCGATTTTTATTTTGGTCATATTAACCGATTTTTCTTGTGGGCAGTTTTTAATTGTGGTTTTACTTTAGCCTAAAATAATATAAATAAATAATAAAGTCCATTAAAGATAGCTTTATTTAAGATTTACAATGTAAAAACCAAGGCCTGATTTGTGCATGCATTCGCGACAATATTGTCTTGAAAAATTTAGTTGGTTATCGCTATTCCAGCAAGTAGTAATTTCTCTTGAAGTACTCCGTCGTCCACTTTTATAAATTTTCATCAGTTGTTGTTGATCACACGGCTCCACAGGTGGTGGCCTATCGGGAATTTTACCTTTTATTCCGATGGTACCTCTGTCTGCGTAATATTTTACGACATTTACCATCGACGACTAAGCTATTTGGAACAAATCTTCACTTTTTCTTAGCGATTTTCCCTTGAGGTACTGCGAAATTATTATTTTCAGAACTTTTACTAAAACTAGCCCGCCGCTAACTATTTTTTTCTAAATAAAACCAACACTAGCATGAAATGCTACTGTGGAAATGACTAACACCAGGTAGGGTTTCTCTATAGTTTATTTACAAACGGATATCTTACACGTGGAACAGGAGACGGTACCCATCTTCTTCGTTTCGATGTCGGCGGCAGAAGAGAGTACTTGCCGTACTCGCGCCTCCTTGTGTCCCCAGTTGGTCTCTGCGTCGGCGCCAGGCTAACCAATCACGAGTGGTGTTCGGTGAGCATATTGAGTTGCCTACTCGTAGGCGAGAGGAAGTAGTACGTGTGCGTTGTGTTGCCTACATTAACATCACAGCAACGCCACATACCCCCCCCCAAGTAACGGGTGACAGCTGTCAAAACGGCTGTCAGTTGTCATTCTCTGAAACGTGCGGGGAGCGTTGACCTGCGGCCTGACCTGGTGGTTTGAGTAACTTCCTGTGTTCGTACTGGGGATGGAGCCGGTGGTGGTTCTGGTTCTTGGAGAATAAAAGCGGGTTTTACTCTGTCGATATTCACTGTTGTTTCCCTACCGCCTACATTGACCTTTATTGTCTTAGCAGTACGAGACAGAACAAGGTGTGGACCGGTGTAGGGCTGTTGGAGCGGTCTTCGCACGGTGTCGTCTCTTAGGAAAACATGGCTACATTTACTGAGCTCTGTGTGGACGAAGGTGCTTTGCCTAATGTGGTGCGACGCTGGAGTTGGGCGAAGTTTCCTCATGTGGTCCCGTAGTTTTTCTACAAAGGTAGTGGGTTCTACGGATCTGTCGATATTGCTGAAAAAGAATTCGCCTGGGACTTTCAGTTGCGTTCCGTAGGTCAGCTCTGCTGGTGAGTGGCCGATGTCTTCTTTGATGGCTGTACGTAACCCTAATAATACTGTAGGTAGAACGTCTAGCCAACTTTCTGCTTCATGGCACATGATGGCTGCCTTCATGGTTCGATGCCATCTCTCGATAAGGCCGTTGCTCTGGGGCCTATATGGCGTCGTCCGAGAGCGCTGAATGCCCAAAATTTTCGCCAAGGCATTCATGGTGGATGCTTCAAATTGTCGCCCTTGGTCGGTTGTAATTTGTCTTGGGCAACCGAATCTTGAAATCCATGTTTCGTAGAATGTCTTGGCGACTGTCTCTGCGGTCATGTCGGTCATGGGTGCGATCTCTGGCCACCTGGTGAAACGGTCAGACATAGTGAGGCAATACCTGTAGCTTTGAGAGGGAGGTAGCGGACCTACTATATCGATGTGCACATGTTGGAACCGTTCTGTGACGTCATCGAAATGCTGTAATGGGGCTTTGGTGTGTCGGCCAACTTTGGATCGCTGGCAAGGGATGCAGCTTCGTGCCCACTTCATTATGTGACTCTCCATAAATGGCCACACAAATCGCTTCTTGATGAGCTTACTGGTCGCTCGGCCGCTGGGGTGTGAGAGGTTGTGAAATCCTTCAAAAATTACTTTTCTCGAATCTTGTGGAACGTATGGTCTAACCACCCCCGTTGACGTGTCACACCAGATAGCTTTCTGGCCGGCCTGTGGGGTGAGTTTTTCTAACCGCAGGCTTGTTGTATCAGAGTTTAAAAGTGCTTTTAGTTCGGCGTCTTTTTCTTGTTCCTTGGCTAAGTCGTCGGTGTCAATGAACGTAGGAGTTGTGATTTCATTGACCCTTGAAAGTGTGTCTGCAACTGTGTTTTGTTCTCCTGAAATGTGGATAATGTTGGTGGAAAACTGGCCGATGAAATCTAGCTGCCTGACTTGTCTTGGGGATGCTTTGCCTGCTTTCTGCTGAAACGCGTAGATGAGGGGTTTGTGGTCGGTGAGTATGCAAAAGTCTCTGCCTTCCACCATGTGCCTGAAGAATTTTATGGTTTCGTAAACTGCAAGCAGCTCACGGTCGTATGCGCTGTAGTTGCGCTGCTCCTTGCTAAGTTTTCTGGAGAAGAAACCTAAAGGTTGCCAGGTCCCATTGGAGTGCTGCTCTAGTACGCCCCCGATTGCGTAATCAGAAGCATCGGTGATAATTCTGAGCGGCAGATTTTCGGCGGGATGTGCCAGAAGCGCGGCGTTGGCTAACTCTGTCTTGCACGTTTCAAAAGCGGCTTCAGCTTCTTCTGTCCACTCGACTATTGTTTTGTCATTCTTCCGCGCGTTGTTCAGATATTGGTGAAGTGGTGTTTGGGTCTGGGCTGCGTGGGGAATGAAACGTCGGTAGAAGTTGATCATGCCAAGGAACCGTCGCAGATCTTGAACTGTCTTTGGTTTGGGGAATTCGCGGATTGCACTGACCGACGTCTCAAGTGGTTTGGTTCCACTCCCGGAAATCGTATGTCCTAAATATTTCACTTCGGCTTCACCAAACACGCACTTGGTCGGGTTAATCACTATGTGATGCTCCCGTAACCTAGAAAATAACATTTTTAGATGTTCGACGTGCTCTGCTTCATCTCGGGAGAACACTAAGATGTCGTCTATATACACGTAGCAGAAATCAAGGTCACTTATTAGAGAGTTCAGGTGTCTTTGGAAAGTCTGTGCGGCATTACGTAGTCCGAACGTCATAACTGTAAACTCGAAGAGCCCGAACGGAGTGCACACGGCTGTTTTAGGAACGTCTTCTTCAGCCACGGGAATTTGATGGTATGCGCGCACTAGGTCTATGGTGGAGAACACACTTTTACCTTCGAGTCTGTAGGTGAAGTCCTGTATATGAGGGATGGGGTAGCTGTCAGGCACTGTCACGTTGTTTAGGCGCCTATAGTCGCCACATGGACGCCATTCACCAGGGAGTTTCTTTGGGACAAGGTGAAGCGGACTAGCCCAAGGGCTCTTGGATGGTCGGCACCAGCCCTGTTCCATCATATATTGGAATTCGGCTTTCGCCACTCTCAACTTCTCGGGTGCAAGCCTGCGAGGAGCTTCTGCGACCGGGGGACCTCTGGTGATGATGTGGTGGAACACGTTGCCCCTGTGCTTCGTTCCAGGTGGCGGTGGGCGTGTAATTTCTGCGAAATCCGCTAGCAGTGCGTGATATGGCGTCGTCTTGGCCACTGTCGTGATCTGAGGCGACTTGCATATAGCCAGGGTTCCGCGAGTTGATAAGAGGGTGGCTGCGTCTACGAGGCGTCGGTTGCGGAGATCAGGTAGGAGGTTGTGATGCCTCAGGAAGTCTGCTCCGATGATGGGTTTGCCTACGTCTGCCACTATAAATACCCACTTGAACGGACGTTTCAGCTTGAGATCAAGGAACATTAGCTTTTGGCCGTATGTTCTGATCGCGCTGTCGTTGGCCGCGAAGAGCGTTGTCTCAGCTGGGCTGAGATGTTGTCTGCCTGAGAACAATCTCTTGGGTAACACGGAAACTTCTGCCCCCGTGTCGATTAAATATCGGGTACCTGATTTTGGGTCGGTGATGAAGAGGCGTTGTGTTTGCGCTGCGTCGTGGACCACCTCAATCGTCGACGGCGCCTCTAGTTTAACGGCCTTTTGTAGTCACAGGGTTTGGCGCATCTTCTGGCGTTTGCTCCGAACCGATTGTGATAATAGCAGATATTATCGTCCTGCGGATTCGACCTTGACCTAAATTTGGCGCGATTCCAGTTTTCGCCTTGCCCATGGCGCCTTCTGTCGTCTGCGAGTTGGTTTACTGTGGTCGATAAAGTTACGAACTGCTTCTGCAGTGCCGTAATGGCGGCAGCCATTCCATCTTCTTGCGCCGATGTAACGGTTTGAGAGGCGTGCGCGGAGGTACCGCGATTTAGGGCACCAATATTTGCTGTGATGGCGCTGGTATGGTGGATTTCGGTCAATTTGTCCGCTATGGTCGCCATTTTGTCCAGCGTTTCTTTATCATTTGCGGCGAGGATCATCTGTAGTTGTGGGGGTAAACGCTGCAACCACAGAGTCTTGAGGACGTCACCGCTGATCCCCTTACCCGCTAGGGCTTCCATTTCTCTTAGTAGTTGTGACGGCTGCTTGTCCTCTAACTCTATTTCGTACATGAGCTTCCGTAGTCGTTTTTCGGGGGTGTCTGCATAGGCGGCGATCAATCTGGATTTTATGCTTTCGTACTTTGTCTCTTCTGTTGGGGGGTTGGCGACCAAATCGGCAACCGGCTGGAGCGTCGCGCAGTCTAAGGCGGTTACCACGGTCCAGTACTTGGTCTGGTCGGACCTGATTCTCGCGCAATTAAATTGGGCTTCGACTTGTGCAAACCAAAGCACCGGGTCTCGCTGCCAGAATGTCGGTAGCTTCAGATTTGAACCACTTCTTACCTCATCAAGGGCTTGTTTGTTGGAGATGGTAGCCAGTTGTGTCTGGAACTGGCAAATTATTTCTTGTTGTTCCTGCAGTTTCTTTTGCATTTCTTCCATGGTGCTAGCTCTTCCTATTTTCTTTCCGGGGTCACCAATGTGGAAATGACTAACACCAGGTAGGGTTTCTCTATAGTTTATTTACAAACGGATATCTTACACGTGGAACAGGAGACGGTACCCATCTTCTTCGTTTCGATGTCGGCGGCAGAAGAGAGTACTTGCCGTACTCGCGCCTCCTTGTGTCCCCAGTTGGTCTCTGCGTCGGCGCCAGGCTAACCAATCACGAGTGGTGTTCGGTGAGCATATTGAGTTGCCTACTCGTAGGCGAGAGGAAGTAGTACGTGTGCGTTGTGTTGCCTACATTAACATCACAGCAACGCCACACTACGATCCCTATAATAATGGCAGCATTTACCAGCTACTACGTTTGTATTTCGATGGTATACTTAGCAAATTTTCTCGGGTGTCCCAACATTTAAATGTCAGCAAAAATTGCACATTTTTTAGTTAGGTGACAATTTTTGCGCTCTAAGAAAATTTATTAATTTGCAAAATACCTCACTCTCTGCCAAAATAGATGCCCATGCAAAATTTGCATTTAGTCCAAACGAATTGAATGATATCAAAAATATCTACCGGATTTTTTTGAGAAATTGTCTGTGTCCCAATATTTAGTTGTTAGGGCTCGTAAACTAGAATTTGATGGATTCGTGGCGAAATGAGTTTTCATTATTAGATACATATTCAAATGGAGGAAATGCTGTATTCCTGTAGATGACTTATTCATCCGACCTTCACTACTGTTTCGAAAACAACACAAACTTAAAGGAATTGTACCATTTTCTGTCTATACAGTTGTTAAATTTTTTGAGTGCACTTTTTGTGTCCTTTTCTTCAAATAAAAAATTTAATAAAATTTACTAAAAAGTTATTATGGTAAAGTGTTACTCCTATTTTGTTCTACGAAAGTATTTCCACAAATTAAAACTTAATTTACTTCAAATTCTATCGTTTCTTTTTTATGATTACTTTAAAACGTTAACATACTCTGTTGAGATCTGGCGGACAGAAATAAGGGGAAATATTGAAACGAGATGTTTTTCGCATTTATAACATCATATCACTAAAAAACCTAGCTTACATAATTTTTCCAAAATGATTTTATTTCTAATTAATAATTTAAGTTAATTTTATTTTTCCTGAAGAACAAAAAAAAAACACTCTGAGGTTTGTTTTGCTCATGCATTATTTACCTGTCCATGATACATAACCTTGGCGTAAAATAGTATATTATTAGCCAAGGTTGCAGAGCCAAGCATTCTAGACCGAGCGCAAATTAGAACCCGAGACGCGCAGCGTCGAGGGCTCTAAGTGCGAGGTCTAGAAGTGGCTTTGCAACCGTGGTTAATATACTATTTTTTTCACTAGTAGAAACCATAAGACAATAAACTGAAAAATAAACGTTCAATTTTTTGACGCAACATGATTTTGTTTTGATTTCTAATGAAACTTAATCTAAATCTTCAACACAAAGAAAACCGTTTATACTTGTCGCTGAGTTATTCATTTTATCTTCTACCGTCTACCAACTACCATGCGTATACTCAAGTAATGTTTGTAGCACACATTTGTTCATTTTTTAAGAAATAATCACATCAAACATTACGTACATAACCTCAATTTTTCTTTTTGAACCGGTGGTCGCAAAAGTTGAATTTGCTACCTCTAAATGAGTCGACATTTGCATGCGTCATGGCTGCTAGTGAAAAAAAAAATAAATTTACACAGGATAAATTTTGATTTTCTCCGTATTTTCTTTTGACAGTTTTATACGAGTTTTATATGTCCACCGATTGTACCTGTAAAATATGCTCTTTCTGAATTACAACTAACGTGTAACTTCACCCTTTACTAATGCGTTCACATTTGGGAAGCAATTGTTAATCCGTTTCCAGAGGCGGCTTGTCCTTTGAGGCCGGTGAGGCAATATGAATAAAATTGAGTTTATGCTTATACTCAAGAAATTCAGTGTTTATACTTCTGACATAAATAAATCATGCTTCGACGTTAGTCGAGTTTCGTCATTGGTAGACTCTGCTGTTTAAATGGCAGCATTTTTAAATAGTCTGCTCTCACAACGCAAGTAGACCGAACCCATAAAACAGTATACCGATTTAACTGGGGGTGTATGCAGAGATGAAAATGTTGTCCAGACAAGCATGATTCCGAGTCGGCTCAGATACATATAGTGTGAACTAAATTGCAGATCATTAATAAATTTAGTAAGTACTTTTTATCTAGGGAGTCATTCAGGAAATTTACATTAAAATCGCCCGTAACCTGTAACAATAACTGTTTTGTTACAGGGAATTTTGGATATCTGCATACCTGCTAAAACATCTAAGAATAGGTTAAAATTTCCAGAAGGAGGCCTAGACAAAGCAATAACGATAAAGTTCATGTCCAATATATTTATTCCACAGCATTCAATGATGTTAGCTACCGATTGTTTTTGACATTGTGGTAAAGTTGTAGACCTTATATTATTCTTAGTATATATCGCTACTCCTCCATGTTTGTTTTTATCTCGACAAAAGCTACAACATAAAGAATTATTTTCCAAATTTATAAATGGAATTTGGTCGATGCATTGCCAATGCTCGCTAAATAATAAGACATCAGGTGTACGTTCTTCTCAAACGATCTCAAGTTTTTCTAGTTTGTTACCTAGACTTTGCAAGTTTTGGTGTATTCTATGTTGTCAGTACATTTTCTTTTGTTTTTGTAAAAACCGAGCTTGGGAAATAAAATCTGCTTACTTGCACACCAAGTGGCCAAAACCCAGAATCGTATATAAAACGTTCTTTTTCGCTGAAAGGAGCACTTATCTTGAACACTGGATACTGACTTTTGGATTCCACTTTTTCGCAGGTAAACGTTATTTTTGAGTTTTCTCGTAAGTATTCTAATATATTTTCTTCTCGAGTTTTGGGATGCGTACGTCTAACGCAAAGTCACAGTTTTTTCTTCACGCCATTGAAGTTTTGGGTATCATTGTCACGATTCCATTGTCACCACTTGTTCTATGATTGATCTTGATTTCCTCCTTTTCTGAGAGGTGACAACTTTAAAGCCATTTTTGTTAATTAGAGTTACATCAGCTAAGGTTTCGGAAACTGTAGCCTCTACAGACGTTACCGTTGGAGATTGGTCAGCTTTCCAGAATTTGACACTGTAGACGTTTCTTGGTTTACATATGCCCTGAGTGGTACTTGTATCAACGATAAGAGATTGAGTGACGTATGTTTCATTTTTACTTTGTTTACCAAGTAACAACTCTGGTTTATGTCGTTTCAAATCATTATCCTTAGATTTTTTATTTGTAGCCTGCAATTTAGTTCGTCCATGTTCCGCCGCTACATCTTTTTGAACTTTTTCGATTATTGTGATATTATTTCTTTCATCAGCTCAAACTGTGGTGTGATAATACGTAGGTTAATAAACATTTATGATTTGCATGTTGTTTTAACTTCGTTTATTTTGTGTTTGGTAATGAAAATAATTCTATTTTGCATTTGAGTTCACAGTGTTCTGGTCAAGTAAAATCCAGACCGAATGTAATAATTTTATTTTTCTACTCATTAAGGTTGAAGTTTGTCATTTTCCCATCGCTGGCAGTGGATGAAATTTCATTTCACCCTCTAGTGGAAAAATACTCGGCCGTCTACGATTTTAACGGGTCGTCCAGCCTGAGCGTTTCGCAGCTAGCGAAACGTGTCGCGTATCGCCTGCACCGACCGCACCGTCCGCTTCGCGCGCTTCGAAAATCATGACGCCTAGGCTGGACGACCCGTTAGTGTTTGACGTTTAATACTGCTAGTTTACACAAGTGAAAACAATGAACATGAGTGAGACTGACGAAGTTTCTGAAGAAATTTTGAATGCTGCCAATGCGGCATTTTCGAATCTGATACAAGTGCAGTTATTGATACAGGAAGCAGCCAACTAAGTTTAAACAAAGATACAAGTTCAAATAATACTTACGATAAAAGTGTAAATATTATTGGTGATAATTGCACAAATTGTTCTATTACAGTTAATGTATTTCAAAAATAAAATACCTACCATAAACAAACATTTATTTCCTAATTTCTTAGAAAAAATAGTATATGCAACTCGCGGATGAAGAAATTTCAACGGCTCGAGTTTCTTTTTCGCACTCGCTCGTTGCACTCGCTCGTGTGAAAAAATCACTCTCGCCGTTGAAATTCAACTTCATCCACTAGTTCCATAATGTACTATTCATGATTTGGAATATTTTCAAATCGTGCTTATAATTCCGCAAGTATGTCATGATTACTAACGCGAAATACAACAAGCGTATTTTTATAAAGTTGGCTTGAGCCAAACAATTTAATGAATTTGTGAAACTAGTGAAAATAGTTTAATCACTGCAATAATAATGGCTTCCACTTTACATAAAGTTCGTAGGGTAGAAGGACATGACTGTACTCTTCCACAAGACGATGAACTCATTACACTATACATAAATGGAGGCCTTTTTGTAAACCTACGCCGAAAATTTAGACAATACTTAATGGTTAGCGCGGCAAACCCAGAAAGCAAAGCGGTTTTAAGATCCACAGCGCAGATACGGTTGGAAGAATCGAGACATCTTCGCAAATATTATCATATGATACATCCCTTTAGTGAAGCAAGGATCACATGGGAAATGATAATGATTGTTGTGTATTTCAGTTTGTTTTTGGTGATGCCTCTAGAACTTGCAACTACCCTGACACCAGCTTTGATATTGTACTTAAAATTTGTACTGGACCTTTTTTCTCTGGCTGATGTGGCTCTATTTTTCTTCACTGGATATTACGACATAAAGTCTCATAAAGTCGTGATGAAACCCAACAGCGTTTTTAAAAGTTATATCATTCCACGTTTTATTTTTGATTTCCTGTCATCATTACCGTACAACATGTACATACAATACGGAAACGCATACCACCTAATTCATCTGAAATACTTTTATCTGTTAAAATTGACGAGATTGCCAACACTGATCGAGTATATACGAAAATTTTGCATCGTAATGTATTACACGCGTGCTCTAATCAAATTGCTAACTTTATTTTTACAGAGAATGGATCTTTACAGTTACAAACTGTCCACCGTAAACTTTGCTCTATGGTTTTTAACGTTGATTTGGTGGGCCACAGCACTTACTTTGGTCGTATATACCACAACAAATGGAGAAAAATCTGATATTTCAGAAAATGTGGACAATTTCAGTCCAACAATGGAGTCTTGCTACCAAGTGGTTAAATCATTCATGTTAGTGGCCATGAGTAGTATCCAGACAGATAAAGCAATATCTATGCTATTTAACATTTTATGTATTTTAATAGGAAGTGTTTTAAATATGGTGATTTTAGGTATTTAATTTTCATTTAAAATAGTTGATCAATTTATTCTTTTTTTTTATTTTTTAGCACAAGTTATGCAAATTTACCGCCGTCATTCCAGTTCTAGAAACAAATACGACAACTTAATCCAAGAAATTGGAGAATACATGAATTATAAAGAGCTACCAACATCTATAAAAAACCGAGTATTTCGCTATGTGGAGTTCAAGTTTCAAAAAAATATTTTTAAAGAAGGCGACATATTAAACACGTTGTCTAAAATACTTAAACAAGATATTTTACTCCACAACTGTAAAAAAATGGTAGAAAAGGTTGATTTTTTTAAAGGACTACCGGGTTCTCTAATACTGCGGTTAGTTACTAAATTGAGATCTGAAATATATCTTCCCAATGACGTCATTGTTCAAGCTGGAATTACCGGTAACGCAATGTATTTTATATATGTGGGTTCTGTAGCAGTTTACACCATCCATGAACAAGAAGTTACTTAGAAATTATACTGACACATCTCTTTTTGACTGATGCACATTTTTAGATTTGCCACTTGGAAGATGGGAGTTATTTTGGGGAAATTTCTTTAATCATAAACGAGCCTCGAGTAGCAAGTGTAGTTGCCATTACTAATTGTGAGGTATTTCGCTTAAGTCGTCGCGATTTTCTGGAAGCTATTGAACCGTACCCCAACTTGAGTAGCAGAATTCGTGACTCTGCTCTGGCCAGACTAAAGAGGACACAAATGATGATGAGTCAAGATCAGAAAGAGAAAGAGAAAGAGAAAGATAAAGATAAAGATCCAGCTGTTAAAAAGGAATTTAAATTTCTTGAATAATATTTTATTATTTTATAGTTATAATTCTTACAACTGTTTTAAATAAACTACATCGTTCTTATCATATATGTTTTGTGTGGCTCTCATTGTGTAACTTTGTAGAGATGACAGCACAGAATCTTGGGCATTGATGTCATTTCACTGACATAATTTGTGCAACACTCTTTACTGTGCTCCTTACGTACCGTGACCTCTTCTCGTAATTTTAGTCATGCTTATCGGCTTATCATTTTGACTTTCGACATATACACTTCATTCCCTACTTCAATGTAGAACCAGACCAAGATTAATCGGTTGACATTTTCAACAAAGTTCATAAAATAGGTTGTAATAAGTGAACAAGATTTATAAAACTGCGTATGTATACAGTGAATAATAAATAAATAAAATACGTAACAAAAATACAAAATAAACTTAAACCAAAAAGAGATCTAATATTTGATGGTGGCGGTATTGGCCTCTATAACTTTTGCCAACCTGGAGAGGATAGAGAGGCATAAATTTCTGAAGGTAGTCTTGTGATAGTACTTCCCATCTTAGTTACCGGACTCAGCAACTCCTCTTTATTAGGAAAAATCAATCGCTGGTGCTATAAGTTTTTCACTGGGAACCCTCGCACGTTTTCAGTTGGGTTTAGATCTATTTATGTCATGATTCAGAAACCATACTGCCACCTGATGTCCTGTATGAACAAGTTAGTTATCCTGGTGAAAGATAAAATCTTGGGCGCGGTAAACTCTAGTGTTTGAAGGAAGCATCTCGTTACTGGTCAGGCGCTCTTCCACATAAAGTATTACCCCAGGACTAGCGCAAAAAAAATATGGTCTTCAGTTTGGACAAAAATATCTATGTTGAAAACAATGTTGCCAATGCATGAAAATATAGATACTTTATCTTATTTAAGTAGTCGAGTCTTTCTTGAAGCAAGCGGAATAGTTCAGAACATTTGCCGAAACAGGCAAAAACGTTTACTGGAGATCAAATTACGTCTTTTTTGCGAGATGTTCCTGATGAATCATTGTCAAGTTCAGTTTGACATTTGCGCAGTGATGCAGTAATGCGCAGAAAGTACCAATTGATTTTAAAATTCAAGGGCCTATTAGATATTAAGTATTAAATGTAAGCTCTGCAGAACATTGAATTTTAATAAAGTTTAGTATTATGTTATGATTTTCTTAACACTAGTGTTGTTAAACGATTCTACGACAACTGGTCGTAAAGAATTGATCGCGCGACAATTGATCGCAAACAACTCGTCGCAGCACAATTGGTCGCACGCGACAATTGATCGCGGCGATAATTGATCGCATGTAAATTGATCGCAGCAACAACTGATCGCACGTAAATTTATCGCAGCGTCAATTGATCGCAAGGTAAAATTCATCGCGAATTAGTTTCTTTTATTAAAACTAAATATTTTGTATTCTGAGTTTTAAGTTGCAATAAATTTAGCAAGTAGGTAAGGTGTAAATATCGAATTAAAAACAATTTGATTGTAGTTAAGTGACGAAGTTTGTAGTTGCACTTTAAAAATTAAAAAATACGAGCGTAAACCACTGGTTGCATTTTTTATTCATTTTTTTATCATTAAATTCTCATTTTATTTATTTATTTTTTTTATTTTAAGAGATTGTTACTATTTATATCGTTATATTGTAATAAGTACTCAAGAAAAAAAGTGTTTATTGTTCTTAACCAGATTTATTATCCAATTATTTAATAAAAACAGGTACATTTTTTACAAATTCATATGCTTAAATGAATGTTCTGCGAAATGGCTCTAACATAATCAATAACTGCATATTTTGCATAGTTTTCACTAATGGTTTTAATACGTCAAGTTAAATCTTTATAAGATTTTTTCTGCTGAACTGTATAGTTGCAGCCAAATTTTGTTCAATTTTTAATTTATTTAATGACTGAGTCTTTTGCAAATACTTAATAAATTTATATACATCGGGATGCACGGAATTCACGAAAACTATTGTGCCAACTTTGAAGGCATTATTCGTTTTTGGTAAATCATTCTCGACGGAGTCTCTACAATTCCATACCCAACCATGTCGTTTCGAAATATGTCAAAAGTGGCTGCAAAATAGTTTCATTCTTGCAGAACTGGTCCTATGCTGATGTTACTGCATCTTCTGAAAAAAAAATGCTGGCGCCACCAAATTTTTTACATTTAACGCAAAATCTGCGTTAGTAACATATCTCTGTTGCAGTCCACAACTTTGAATATGTTTCCAAAAGGATTGCGTAAAATGGAAAAAATAACCCCGAACTTCCTGGTAGATTGCGTTTTCTGCAGACTTTTCGAAGTCAACTATTATGGATGTTGGGTTTAATCCACCTTGTAATGATTTCAATGCTTAGAACATTTTAGTACCTATATGTTTGCTGCGTCTTTTTTGGGAACAAAGCGTATGCGACAGGTATCACATTTCTTTTAACTGCACAGATCTTTCTTCTGTGTGTGTGGGGGGGAGGAGGGGGGAGGGCTTTAGATCTAAAAAAAAGAAGAACTAATTCGTTCGCAGTTTTCCATGAGCGGGCTGCTACTTGATTTTATTATTCGCCGCACTTTGCATCCTACAAAAATTTACAACATGGACTGGAGAAGATTAAAGCACTAGATCCGCCGCAGTTTACATCTGCCCACCTACATTAGGCACATATTTCTGAGTGAATAGTCCGCGTTCCAAGTGAAATATTTAAAGTGCGACATGCGGCAAATGTGCACTAAACAGCAGAGGCGAAAATCCCTCGGACGCGGCCTGGTCTATACGGCACACCAGTTCTCAGGTGACGTTATATTATGACAATACACAAGCACTAGGATTATCTTTGGGTATTTTATTAAAACGACAGGGTAGGAGCTGTTATTCAGCGCAAATTCCAGATATCCACCTAACTCAGGAAGTCAGGACATGAAAGCTTCTAATTAGAAACTTTCATGTCATGATACCAATTGGCATCAAATTGTAGAACTTGTAGAGTACTATGTGAATCCATAACTAGGGTTGCGTAAGGAATCTGTATTCTATAGATTGCTTAGATTTCAGATCTAGATTTCTTAAGCAACCGTTTATATGTACAGTACATACTACACTACGAGCTCTAAAATTTGGTGCCAGTTAGACGCTTCCATGTTATAAGCAAAGTTGTAATTTGCCCCCAAAATGGGCCAAGGCCATTTTATCAAGGTGCTCAAAGGTAACCCTAGTGCTTGTGTTTTGTCAGAATATATTATACGACCGAGTAACTATTAATGTTTGAGATTTTTACTTCCCGAACATAAGCTAAAGAAGTAATGTAACCGAGTCCAGCGACTATTATGTTTTTTCGACCTTTCATGACCCCTCTGTCTGTCTGTCTGTCTGTCTGTCTGTCTGTCTGTCTACCGTCTATCTGGATTTTTTTAGACAGATAATATCCGAAACTATTGGACCGATTGTTGTCAATTTTTTTTTTTTTGTATACATATACAGCGTGTTATTGAAAGGTACGTACAAAATAAAATCGGCAATTGGTCTCGAAGTATGAGTACTAAAAGTTCAGGTAAAAGTGTTCTCATTTTAGAGATAAAAACTATTAAAATGTATGTCCAAATTCGTTACGCCTCTGATAAAAAGATCATCTTTCGTTTCTATAACAACATTTAGTCTTGACAAAAGTTTTATTGTTACAGTTGCTAGGATTTATTAAAATAAATTAATTTTACCTATTTATCCTTCAGTAGCGTTTAAAAAGTTTGGATAAGGGTTAATTTTCTCCTTATAATTTTGATAACACAAAATAAGTTTTTCAGACTTCTTAGACTTCGCGAATAACTGTCAATTTTGTTGTACGTACCTTTCAATCACACCCTGTATATTATGAATATCATCAATCATCCCCACTAACAACTTTATGACGTCCGCTCATTATATTGTATAATAAAATTACCGATTTTGCATGAAATAATATACTCCTGCACTTGTGGTTTACGAATGTTGTCTTGATTTTGTGTATTGTTACTACATTTGTTTACTGCTTAATCTGCCTTGTCCTTTACTCACATAGTATGCAACCTTGTTGTAGCTCAGTCAGGGCCGGCTTAACACGGTAAGCGAAAGATGCACCGCATCGGGGCGCCCATGACAAGGGGCGCCGGGCGGCGGGCGGCGCCTATGCTTTTGTGTTAACTCCGTAGAAATAAATTAATAAGAGTATTAGATTTGCATTGTATCACTATGTACAAAATATTATAGCAGGAACAGACCAAGGCGCCCATCGAAAACTTTTCAGAAAAAGCAACATTTTAACATTCCACTATGGGGAGTGGTTCACCAAAATAGGTCATAAGAAGTCAATTCCTGGCACTTTCTGACTGTAATAATTGAAAAAGAGTGCGCATTTGGGTTGGGTGATTGGACCTTTAGATCAATACCGACAAAAAATACCAGATTTATGATTGCCATTATCTGGGTAACAATTTGACGAGACAGCGGTATGACCAAAACCAGATGTTTTTCTAACATTTGTCACCTTTGTTTGTACCATAAAACTCCGTGTCGGCACAAACTTAAAAATTTTATTTTCCAAGTCTAGTCGGCTGGTTGTGGTGGTTGTTCAGTTTTGTTATATTTTCCACTGTTCCGATTCGTAGTCGAATTTTGTTCTGTGTATCATTCCGTGGCTCTTTGTCATCACTAATTTTAAATTTTATTTTCGAATAACATTTAGGTAAGTAAATTAAAAATAACTTTGAAATCATATCAATTTTACAATATTAAAAAGTCCAAATTTCATGTTTGTAGTTGCAGTAGTTCAGGCCTTGCGTTGATGAATCAGTTAGTCTATCAGTGAGGACGAACACTTTTATATATTAAGATTGATTCATCATAATTGTATGTATGTTTGTTAATTAAAAGTATCTTTCTATAAAAATATGTGATTACAAATTTTTGTTTGTTTTTTTTTACAAACAATTTTTAAAGGGCGTTGAACAGTAAGTTGCATCGGGGCGCCTGGTCCCTTAGAGCCGGCCCTGAGCTCAGTGGTAAAATTTCTGCTTTGGAGACCCAGCGTCGACAAATGAAATTACCGGACCTTTTTTTCATTGGATAAAATAAATTTAACAAAACTAATAGTTCTTATGTGAGAATACGCACAGCTTTATAGTAATAAAATATTGATAAAATAAGGATTTTTTAAATACAATAATAATATTCAAAACATTTTGCTCGATTGTGGTTTAATTAATAATTTGAGTCCTTTGTTTTGAGGCTATAAAGTCATTCAAATCAAACAAATTTCTACGTGACATTCTTTTGATGTATAAACATAAACACTTCAAGTTACGCATGTTGCTGAGAGGTCATTTTTCCCGTTCATTACCTGCTGTAAAATAAATATATTTTATATTGTCCGAACTTGTACAGCGTCCGGTCAGAGGCAGATTTATAGGGATGCTTATGATGCTAGAACATCAGGTCCCCGAAGTTAAAGGGCCCCTTCTAGCCTAAATATAAAAGAAAAGAAAATATATTTGTTTTTAATTTAGTTATTACAAAAATACAATTTCGTCTTCTCCTGAGCGTTTGGCCACTTTCGGCCGTTCCAGTAATTTATGACTTGCAGCCAGTCAGCCACCTAGAAAAGAGCTCTCGCCGGTGGACGGCTATGTTTTGTTTTCAGTAGCGTTTCTTCTTCTCCACTTATTTGAACAAATTTCAGTAATCAAACTGACTTACTAAGATTCATGATATTTTTTAAATTAAACTTCGAATTAAGAGGTAACATAATAGTGCCTTTTAGAAAGAGTTAAGTGCATCACTTTAGTTGAATCACCCATCCAGCAGTGCGATTATTTTGATTGAAAATCGAAATCTTGTCGAAATCATTATAATGACTTATAAGCTACTATATGATAGAAAAAGGTCCTTTTAGTAAACCATGACATTTGCTTTTAAAATAATCATGTTGGCACTGCAGTCATTTGACTAATTTTTTGACAGTTATTTGACTGTCAAACCGAATAAGGAACGCGTTGGTGTTGTCATCGTTGGTTTAAAAATACATTTCATGGCCTACTGGAGGACTTTTTTTTTCGATAATATGGTGCATATTATCTTGAATAAATTGTACTTTTAAGCTTCAGTGTAATATTCCTTAACATTATTTTATTTTATTGATAAAGGCAAGAGTTTTATTTATAATTTGTATTTACGATTTAAAAACCCACTTTAATATAATTTTAAGAATGCATGTACAATTGCTTACATTTTATTAAAATCATAAAGGTATTTTGTTAAAAATGGACGTGCAATCATTTAACCTGTATACAGGGTATTCTAAGAAGTAAAAGCAGTATAATTCCAAAAACGGTAATATTATTAAAGATTAAAAATTAGTACTGTCTGGTTGATATGCGCTTCTGATAATTATATGTTGTAGGTAATCTTGGGTAATAAGCCCCAGGAAAATTAAATTCTATTGAAAGATTGAACATTCCATTCGAAGATTTTTCTTCATTTCTGATCAGTTCTTCATTTTCTTTAATAAATTTATGTGGTGCATAAGCTAAGGGACAATCAATTCGTACATCGATGTCTAATCCCAAATGTGGTATTAAAAGAAACTCATTTTGTTCTTCTAGTTGAACAGGATTAGGTATGATTCCATCGTTGTGAAATTCATCTTCACCGTCTTCGTCATTCTGTTCTTCTTGTAGGTGAAACTTTTGTAAATATGCAGCTGTAAACTGTTCTATTGGCTAGAAATACAACACTTTTCTTATATATTTACCATCGTTCATTGCTCCGTAGCAGAAGAACGTATCATGTACATCACCATATCCAGTGTAAACAACTACACTTGGTTTTTTTATTATGGGATTAGGTCTCACTAACATTTCTCTTTCATAGTGATGTTGCTGCATAAATATTTCTGTGTGTGCTAAAATTATTCTTCTAATTCTCATGTGCATCATTCTTTGCTTTTGTTTTAAAGACATTTCTTTATCTGGTGGTATACCAAAAGCAACAAACCAGGCATTTTGTAAGTAGTAACAATACTGAAAAATGTTTTTATTAACTTTTTAACTAAACATATTACTTTTTCTTACTTTTGCAGAAAATGTATTACCAGTTGTTCGTTCGAAAACAACATTCTTCGCAGCATGTGTCGCGCAGTCAAGAAGATCAACAATTTTGCAGCCACTGATACTAAGAGGTTGTTTAATTGGTTCTTCACTCACTTTATCAAAGTGGATGCAGAAATTTTTTGTCAAATGTATTACATGTTTGATTTCTTCTGGTAAAGCCTTGAACAATATTTGAAGAACTAAACTTTAATAAGTGAAATACGAATTAAATACGTAGTCTTTAACAACAGCGGGACCATAAATTTGATAAGGATTCATTGTAAATTTATACAATATGAGGTCATACAGGTCCAAAATTAAACCTCCGTACATGCAAGATCTGTGCGTGCGGTAAAATTCGTTGTAGACATAACGCCAGATTGTGGCCATAATAACAGTTTGCTTAAAACGTAATTTAGCAATAACTGACTGATTAAACAATTGGATTCATACCTGGAAATTGATAATATCTAGTAGATTCAGTAACCGACACAAACATTTAATTTCCATGTCATCTTCTGTGCATTCCATAGCTTTTAAAACTGTTACGGTTAGATTCTGTAGTTTCTTTGACAAAGTTTTGAAGGATTTGTTCAGTAAATCTTCTGCTGCCAGTTTGAATTTTCTGTTTACTTTTCGAACTTTTTCACCTGAAATATCGTAAATGTATATCAAATCTTATTTTATTCACGCTTAAACCTACTTAGTTCGTGATATGTAATAAACTTGAAAACATTTTGCAAGATTTCTAACGGCATCAACATAATTGGATTTTTTCGTTTAAAATGATTATCGACAGTATACGAACATGTAGCCTCTTCACCGTCATCAACTTTTCGTTTCTTCGATCGTAAGTAATATGTAACATCAAGGTCTTCCTGATCCTCCATTAGCTTATAGTTTCCAGCTGATTTAGAATATTTTAGTATTTTATCAAAAATTTGATGTAGACTATCTAGATTTGTTAACTCACGCTGTCATTTATATTCATGAATAATAAAAATTAGAGAACAATTATTCATATATGCAATATTTAAATATTATATCTTCTAGGAATTCAGTAGAGAGACTTCCACATTCCGTGGAAGAAGTAAAACAGTACCAGATAACACAATTCATTATTTTTTTTTTTAATTTTGGATATTTGTCCACCTCTTGCACGTAATATATGATTAGGAGACTAAATAATTGTAGTTACTTTACGACATGTTTCGACTTTATTTAACGTCATCATCAGGTTATGTATATGTTCAACAACCTAAAAGAGGTTATTCAGAAACTGTATATTAAGTGTCTAAACTCACCTAGTAACATGGAACTTAACACTTGAAAGAATACAATGATAAAATTACAATCATAATTAAAATATCCGAGATTAATGGAAATGGTGTTACTTTTTATATATTTTTTTCCCTTTTTCGGAATAAAGTGGCGCAAAACCTTTGGAAAGAGAAGCTAGAACGTGCATCGCATGGGCGAGAAAGAGAAACGTATATTTTAATGGTCAATATTGCCAACTTGGAGTCGACTTTATACAATCTGGAATCTCAACCTCACTAGATATCATACTTCAACAAAATTTCTTTATTTTCAATCAACACATTTATACACAGACCTCGAGCCTCAGCATGGGCTCTCCCCTTTCCCCCCTATTAGTTGAAATTTTTCTCAAGAATCTCGAACTAACTTTTATCAGAAACAATGACATCTTCAAAAGTAGACTCCGACTTTGGATGAGATATGTGGACGAGATTCTCTGCATTTTCACAGGAGACAAGAAAGATCTTGGAGAACTTCCTAACGTTTCTAAATACGATACACTAGAATATTTCTTTTACGTTTCAAATGGAAAACGACTCCATTTTGCCCTTCCTTGACAGTTTAATCCATAAATCTAATAACTTCGTAGAATTTAGCATCTTTAGAAAACCAAATACCACATTATTCTAGATCTAGCTAAACCGAATGATTTTCCATTTCATGTCATCCACAACTTATTTAAAAAAATAGAACGCAAACAGATTATCCAAAATCTAACTTCTTTACAACAGGTCCAAACAAAAAGCAAAACCTTTTTTTCGATTCCATATATCCCTAATCTACACAATTGTGTCAAATCTAAATTTAGGAAATTTAACATGATCCCGTGTCCTTCCAATAAAATTTGTCTAAGAAATTTGTTTTGTAGAAAACTGGATTTTTTAAAAAAGACAGAACGCAGTGGTATCTACAAGGTCACATGTGATTGTGGTGCTTTCTATATAGGACGCAGCTATCGTTCAATAACATCTAGAACAAATGAACATTTCAAAGCCATCACATCTAATAGGTTGAAAGATAATACCTCTGCTTTTACAGACCACGTCACACAACATCTACACAGTTACAAACCTACCCCTGACGTGAGTCCAACTCTACAATTGAACACCTAGAACCTATCTACATCATTAAAGCAAAAAATTCATATCCCAATTTTATCCTAAATGAGATCACTGATTTCCCTAACCATTACATCACCCCACCGGACCATTTTTTTCGAAATTTCAACCACATCATTTGACCATACTTTTTCAGTTTTACCCCGCCTGACCATATGTTCCCCAGTTTGCAATTGCCAGTAAATTTAGCCACTCCAAGTTGGCAATATTGACCATTAAAATATACGTTTCTCTCTCTCTCGCCCATGCGATGCACGTTCTAGCGTCTCTTTCCAAAGGTTTTGCGCCCATAGAAATAATATTATATGGAAGTAACTTAGAGAGAGATGCGCATTGTCAACACAGTCGGACAGAGATGGGTTTCTTTGGGTGGCAACACATTGGCGCGAAACTGCCCGGCAATGTGTTTCTGGGAGGTTTCTTTTTTCTTTCGTGTTCTCGCATGGTGTGTGAAGGTGTTTTGTTTGCAAAATTACGTTTAGTGGACTTAAGTTACAATTATTCAAATTAGTAGTGTTCTTAGATTGCATTTTATCGAACTATTTGTTAAATATGGTGAAATCGTGTTGTGCATATAACTGCACGGAACGTGCAAACGGAAGCAGTTTTATTTCATTTCACAGGTAGTAATTACATGTTGTTTACAAACGAAGGATTTCGCATAATATAAAAATTTTGTTAGATTCCCTAAACATCCCGAATTACGAAAAAAATGGATTATAGCTACAAAAAGGGAGGATTTTATACCTACTGAACATACTCGTATTTGTGGAAAACATTTTCTAGAATCAGATTTCATAATCCATTTTGGAGGATTTTAAAAATATTTTTCCAAATTTAAAAACTCATATTCTCGATCAAGAACCATTAAATAACCACCTAATTCAAATTGTTTACAATATATTTAAAGAATACTTTAACATAAGATTAAATCACGAAAATAAATCAATGAACGAAATTAAAGATAGAATTAGACATGTTTATAATAAATTAATTCATTTCAAACATCAATAATTTTTTTCTTTAATCATTAATCAATATTATTATTTTTTAATTCATTTTTGGTTATTGTGTTAGTTAATTGTACGTGAATTTAAAAAATTGATCTTGGTAGAGAATTCACACAATTTAATATGTTTAATTAAATTAGTCAAACTGTTAGTTTTTCCGAAAGTTTAATTACTTTTATCCTAAAAATTCAGATTTCCAAATGTTAGCTTGAAAAAACAATTATTGTACACTATTAGATTTCGGTAACTTGTAGAAGATTGTTGTATTAATTGAATTCGTAATGTATTGTCGATTCTGCACACATTTCATTTTATTAAAAGAGGATTTCCATCGCTTAACACGATTTCTGTTATTTTAGATTGTATATAATTATAATGTAAGCTGTGAAAATATAGTTTTCATTAATAAACGTTTGTTATAATAATTTGTTTGAACAAATTCAGAAGAAAACGTATTAATTCCCGTGCAAATGAAGCGTTTCTTGCCACTCAGCACGTGACACCCAGTCAGCCATCCTTTCCCCACTGACGCATAACCGGTCTAGCTATTTCTCTCTTATGTTGATTACACTCGCCTGCGTATGGAAACGTATACAAGGCTCCATCCACTCCTTTATTATATCAATGTTTGCGCCACTTTATTCCGAGAAAGGGAAAAAATATATAAAAAGTAACACCATTTTGTATTAATCTCCGATATTTTAATTATGATTGTAATTTTATCATTGTATTCTTTCAAGTGTTAAGTTCCATGTTACTAGGTAAGTTTAGAAGCTATACATACAGTTTTTGAATAACCTTTAGTTTGTTGAACATATACATAACTTGATGATGACGTTAAATAAAGTCGAAACATGTCGTAAAGCAACTACAATTATTTAGTCTCCTAATCATATATTACGTTCAAGAGGGAGACAAATATCCAAAATTAAATATAACTTGAACATAATGGATCTCCAAAGATTAACAATGCATTACCTATGCTATGTTTCGCATAAAAAATAAAAATATTAAATACTCCTATCTATTTGTGAAAATCGAAAACCTGACCATAACACTTCCAGTTTAGTAAGAAATGAAGACAACAGCTCTGTTTTTAAATACGAGCCATGAATCTAGTATTTTTGTATTTATTAGATATTTGTATACTTATATTAATTTATTTATATCAGGTTCAGACCTTCATTTTTACTTCTTTTACGGTTTGCCTGTCGCATGTCTGTTGTCTCTGTAGATATTGTTAGATATTAACTACACTGGACCGTTTATTGTTGTGTTGTATTCTATAAATATTGTGTAGACAGTAAAATGCTAACCAAAATGTTCCTGATCTTCCGTACCAACCATTTGATGACGTCATCTCAAAATTTTGCCATATAACAATATTTCACAATTTAACTTTTTAACTTTTTTAAATTGCAAAACCGACTATTCTGAAATTTTGTAACCGTTTTGAGTTTATCGTAAATATAATAAGTAAATCATCAATTTTTTGTGTTTATCCCAACCCCCAAAAACTTGATGACGTCACCTCAAAATTTTTCTAAATAAATGCCATCTAAAATTTGGAATTGCTTAATAGAGAGTAGTCATATTTGTGTAACTTTTTAACTCAGATTATTATGCCTAGTTTTCTTAGTCATTTTCCTATGTTCTATGCATTTTTTTTTTTCAACAAAAACCCGTATTTCAACTAAGTGCTCATTCACAGTGGGCATAAAGCATAAGGATGTCCTAAGCATTAATGCATACAAATTTATGTTTAGTGCTCTGTGCTTGTATTCGTGCATAATTTATCAGTTGGTAATTCAGTTAAAGCATCTAATCAACTATATATGGACAACAGAATTTTAAAAGAATTAGGAAATGCTGCAGTTGAAACAATAGAAAAGATGGACGAAGAAATTGAGTATAGAGATAATAAAATTACTATATTAGAATAAGAAATAAAAGATGTAAATAGTTATGATGAAGAAAAAATAAACGCATTACTGAATAAAAATCCTGTTATGAGATATAACAATAAAGAACGAGCAAAAAGACGTTTAGCAAACTCTCTTTCTCTCGTTTATAAATGAAAACAGCGAATTTATTAATCAAGGCAAACTTAAAAATTATTGAATTAAAAAAGAAAATATTCTTATTTGCGTTATTTCAATAATTTTTATAATAATGTTAGTTGCATTTCTGCTTCGTAAGTATATACCTTCTTTAATTTTTTCACCATTATGATCAAAAACAAAATAAATCCAAACATTATATACACGTTTTTCTACAACTGTAAATATTTCTTCAGTCCAGTTTGTTTTTAATTTGTCAACCATATTAGATAATCTAACTCTATTACCCACTTCAAATTTTGGTTTTTGATTTCTTAGTATAACCATGTATATGGTTTCTAATAACTGCCTTTCATTTTCGTTATTTACATCTTTTGGTTTCATTTTAATCGTAATATGATAAGAATTGTTATAAGATTTTATAATT